CTGACGTGTTTCGCCATTTTGTTCTTGTTGTTGTTCTGGTTATTGTTGTTGTTTGGGGCACTAGCTTGTTATCATTTTTTAATAACATTGTGGCGCTGAGCAACGAATTTGCATAAAACACAGAACCGGGCGACGTCAAAGTCAGCCACAGCAACAGTAACAAGTAAGGGAAACGGCCAACACGTAGTATGAGTAATTTCTACTTAAGCACAAGACAATGACACGCGCGTGCATTAAGTGAGTGTATGCGTGTATGTGTGTGTGTGTGTGTGTGTCTGTGTGTGTGCGTGTGTGTGCGTGTGCGTGTGTATGTGTTGGCTATGAGTGATTGTGTGCGTGCAGGCAGAAATAAAACAATTTTCATACAAATTCCGTGCATTTGCATAAATTTCAAACGATGTCGTCATCCCGTGGAATGCAACTCCATTCTGATCCTGTCAGGATGAGCAGGCATAAGTGACACTTACACCCTTCCAACAGCAGCTGCAACTAACGGAAGCATCAAAGCGAGACATTTGGCCAAGTGCATGAGCCGTGCTTGGTAACAACTTTTGTGGGCAACTTCTCTGTTTTTTTTGTTGGCCGTCACGGCAATAATCATAAAATTTCACTGCATAGAGCACCAAAAAATAAGTGGACTTTACAAGAAAAAATATCAAAAAACTAGTTAAAGTGATCTAAACTTGACTGACAGGCTGGACGATGCCCTGTACACAGTAAGTAAGTATTTTAAGTTTTAGGCTTCTTTTAAATTTCAGAACACTATTTTGAGCTAAAATGTTAAGCACAAAAATTAATTATAATTCTAGAAAACTATTAGAAGGGTCCCGATGGATATTAAGGATGGGTTATAGTGATTCTAGGATTTAAAAATAGTAAAATATAAGAACAAGTTTTAAATGTTTACTGTTCAAAGCCTTACCTTCCAACTATTCCAACTTATGCAGCTAAATTTCATTTAAATTTCAGCCTTATCTGGATATTGCTGATGAATATATGAATATACTCTATGTAGTCATAATCCCGCATAAATAAATGTATCAATGGAGTCTCAGATAACTCCTTGATGCAGTTTCCAACCTAAGCACAACTGCATGGATACCCTGTTCACCGAAATTTTAATGGGCACAGGGTATATAAAAAAACCAAGAGATGGCATCACGTGATTGCAACATAAGAGCGTCATTTACATGCTGCTGTTGTTGTTGCTGTAATTGTTGTTGTCGCTTCAGTCTATTGCTGTTGGGCATTGGTCCTGGAGCTGCGCATGCGCCGCAAACTTTTCCGTTTGTCATTTGCCGCCTCAATAGTTTGTAACAACCTACAGTGACACCACTGCCCCCAACCCCCAACCCAAACCCCAATGCCCTGCCAAGCGTGTAGCTTGGTCACACATCCAGGCAGATGCCCATCGGCTTTATTGAGGTTTTGTTTAAGCTTTTAGCGTACTTTTCTTTTTCGGAGTGCTTCGGCTACGAAAAAGTTGGACTGTGTGTGTGTGTGCGTGTGTTTGCCCGGCAGCATTTTTGCAATTAGGCAACAGTTGCTTTTTTTTGTTGTTTTTTTTTGGTAAATGCAATGGAAGTTTTCAGTTTCGGCTACAGTTGCACACAGTTTTCATTGCTAACAGCGTTCGACACATACAAAAATGCTGCGTAATTGAGACTGATTGTAAGCTGTGAAGCAACGAAGGGTCCATGGCGTTGATAGGAGGGGGGGAGGTAAGGGAGGTGTAGCGCTTGCAGCTGCTTCATGAAAAAGTTTAGTCCTATGTGGCATTTGAAGCGAATTTGGCAATTTTAACTGCACTCACAAGTGCATGCATGTGTGTGTGTGTGTGTGTGTGTGTTTATGTGTGTGCAGGCCTGCGGAGCTCAAAATATTATATAGAAAAAGTTGCACTGCAATTTGATTATTCTGATAAGAGTATTCGAAAAGAATTACATTCACACTTGTGATAAAATATGAATGCCGAATTCAAAAAATTAATATTTGGTTCATTTTATTGATTTATAACGCAACTATTTCTTGGCATTAATACCATAAACTGTTTATACATTTGAAGTTCAATAAACCACAAAGCGTTGCTTGAATTTGCATCCATAGAATAGATGGCTGGCAAATATGTTCGCCACATTTGCATTAGTTACGAAATTTGCTAATAAACATCAATTCACACATTCCCAAATGGCTCGTCAATGGAATGCACTTAAAATAATTTCAGGTACTGGTATTTATCTCTGCCACACCCGTCATTTCCCTAGCGTTGCATTAATCTAAAATGCTTCTGCACTTCATTCAATTTAACGCCAGTCAGAGTTGAAGCGAGCACAGGGGAGTATGTATGGGGGGCAAGAAGCAGAGAAGGGTCAGTGCCAGAAGCCATCAATATAATGTGCGTGCCACATTATCAAACGTATTTATTTGCCAAACAGCTACAAGCAGAAGTAGCATCAACAGCAGCAGCATTAGATGAGGGGCAACAACAACAAACAACTAATGCAAAGCCTACACATAAAGATAAACTAAGACGCACTTATCGCTGCTACTGCTGGACCCGAGATGAAAGCAAGAGAAATTGCCAAGATATTTATTTTTTTCTCATGCTGTTGTTTGGGGCCAAGGCAATCGACAGGCGAGCACAAAACGTGCGTGAAGCAAAAGAGAAAAAAGAAGAAAAAAATACAAGAATATAAAGGACCCTTGCCACCGCTGGACACACGAATGAGATACAAAAATGTTGGCAACGTTGACAGCTTAACGTACAAAATTAATGTGACAATCTAACTAAATGCGTGTGTGTGCAGGCTAGGCATAAATGTGCGACTATATGGCATACATATGTATTTGCGCATTGAGGCAGATAAACATGTTGCCAAAATGACCAACAGAAACACAGAGGAGCAGAGAATCAGCAGTAGGAGGTAGTAGGATAAACAGCTGCCTCAGAGCGCTTGCAACATTAATTACACATAAAACCTCAATGGTTGGCCTAACGCCGGCAACTAAAGCGAAACAACAACCGCCAAAAACTTCGAACTCATTAAATAGAGCCCGGCCAACGGTGCGTATGCGTTATGTGATCTAATGCGATATGATATGCCAGAAAACAAACATTAAAAGTTTGTATTGCTGTGCATGCACCCGTCGACTAGTATCTTGTCTAGGGCAGACAACAAAAAGCATTAAATTACTTTATAATCCGTTTATAGCTCCAGCCGGAAGTGGCCGAGACGAACACACAGACACACACACACACACAGAGAAACACACACCTCCCCCCAGAGTAAACTTTTACACACAGTGTGAGAGAAGGACATCTCGGCACGTTTTGTGCACACATAGGAGGCAGCTCAACAACATAATCAAATCAAAGATTACGTTGAAACATTGAAATTACGTACAGAGCACACACAGACAACACTCTGCACACAAACACATTCACTCACACACACACACACACACACACAGACATAGTTACACACACACACACTCCACTGATGAAATGTGTGCCTTCTCATCACTTTAGTTGGTAATCTGCCATCAGAACACTGCAACAACAGGAGAATTTGGCATAAAGCAAAACGAAGCACTCGCCGACGAAAATATCCTGCAATGCGATAAATTCTTAATCATTTTGTTGCAGACAAAAATTTATTATATTATTATAAGATTATCATGAGTCCTTTTTTAAAATTTGAATTGGACAAAAGATGCCTTTAAATAACAAGAGGATAATTGAATAAAGTTTGTTCAAACAGGGATAGCTACATCCTTGCTACTAATAAAATATATATAAATATATTTATTATATATCTATATAAATATATTTTATTTTACATATAATTATATATTTTTTATCAGTAAAGAAATTCATAGTTTATAAAATCATGGCTAGCGCTTAAAATAATTTTATTTATCCAGTGAGACATTTGGAAAAATGTATGAATGTATTTTATAACGAATATTAAAGAAAATCACTTTAAGAATGCATAACTTCATGTTCAAAGCAAGTTTAAATGAGTATTAATTTATTTATATTTCATGTAGGATCAATTAAAACAGCATTGTAATGAAAAATACCATTTAAGAATGCTTAATATCCAAAAGAACTTAATCCTCAAATAAGTTTTCAGTAAATCATATTTCATATAGACTGAAAAACTGTATTTTTAAGTGATTTCACTTTCGATCTGATTTGCTTACTGCCAAGCCAAACACACCTTTCATAATCGCTCGCAGGGTATTAAAAAAACTGCTGCATAGCATGAGGCGCCGCTCGACTGCCGCCAAACAATTACACACATAAAGCAAAATGCGCTACAACTTTGAACTGCTGTGTCCACAACCCCACCGCCCCTCCTCGCAAATCCCCTTGCACAGCAGCACCAGTCCCTCAGCTCACAAGCAGCAGCAGCAGCAGCAGCAGCGGCAGCAGCAAGTAGCGTAAATAGGCAAAATTCTTTGCTTCATTCACAAGCAGTGAACAAAGGGCGAAAGGTGAATGCTTTTGGCACTCACTGTGCACATGGCATGCGCACTGCTTGCGCTCAACTTGATCTGGCAACGCTGTGCGCTGTGCCTGAGAAGAGCCAAAATCAGAAGCGAGCATTGCTATCAGTTGGCTTGCTGCCCTCGGCCTGAAAACGTCGCGGCTGCTCTGCTTCAGTGTGTGTGCGAGTGTGATTGTGTGTGTGTGGAGACTGCGACGTAAGCTACAGTCTATCTATGTATGTGTGTGTGTGTGTGAGTGAGCGTGCGTTTGTATTTGTACGTGTGAGGGCGCCAAGTTGTTGTGCCGTTAACAAACAAAACGGCCGCAGAAGCAGCAACAGCAACAGCAAATAGCGACATTGAACCACCTGCCACAAAAGCACGCTGGTATTTTAATTGAAATGAAATAAATACATAAAAAGAAACACACACACACAGAGAGAGATACACACAGCGATATAAAACAAAAAGAAAGCTGAAACTTCCGGCTGACAATTTGCATATTTACAAAAAAAAAAGACAAACAAAAAATAATCACACACAAAAGAAAACTTTAAAGTGAGCGGAAGTGTGCGGAAGTTGGGCTGTTTAAACAGCAGCCGAAACAAAAACAACTCCAATAATTGTGAGCAACGAAAATATAATAGACATCAACACAGCGCGCAGCAAAGTAGGCAACAGTTTTTTGTTGCGCACCATGGAAATGGATGTCAATCGCCAGACACGCCACAATGCCAACCTAATGACCATATCCGCCCGCTGTTGCGCCAACAACAATGCAACAAGAGAAACAACAGCAGCAGCAGCAACAGCAGCTACAACAATAAGAGACAGGACAGCAACAACAACAACAACGGGCTGCTGCGGCATCTTGAGTCGCCTGTTCTGCGTGAGTCGCCACAAGGCGACACAATCGGTGGCAGGCACCGAGTGCAGCCACAGCGAGCCACTGTTCATGCAACGTAAAACACTAACAACACAGCCGGCAGCGCAGCGACGTCGTCGCACGCCACAGGAAATCTATTTTGAGAGTCGCGGCAAATCTTGCAAGAAGCTATTGAAATTCAATGGTAATTCCAATAAGGTGAGTGCCACAAAATGTTACTATCGGCGTGTGTGTGTTTGTGTGTTTGATTTAAAGGGTGACAAGCATAAATGTGATAGGGCAAAAGAAAGACGCTTGTGCAAAATGTTTTGTCACATTTAAGAAACTGATTTACATAGCATAGCAGAGAGCAAAGAGTTGACAGTTTAAACTGACAGTCTCTGAGTAGAAAGGAGTGTATTTGCCTTGCCACAAAAAAAGGATCCCAGCGAGAATACCTTGCCATAAATTCGGTTAACACATTCTCTTCTTATCCCACAAAAATATATTACAATAATAAATTCAAGCATTACAATAAGCATATCTGTAGATTCAAAAGCACATTAACAGGCTTTATTATATGCTTAATACTTGCTGTTTGGCGGTATCGTTAGCTTATTGAAAAATAAAAGATATATTACTGCCATTAAGTGATATACACTTGAGCCTAATATTCAGGAAAATGTGTATCAAAACTTGAATGTGTTTAGAGCAGATTATTTGCAAACATTTTATGTACAATATGATAACAGGCTGGGTTTATTTGGGAGTAAACTAAATATGGTTAAAATATTCCAATTTCTTATATTAAATTTGCATAAGAAATAAATAACTTTTTTATTAGCCACATAATCGCATAATAAACCTGAGCCGTAAATTCCGACGCTCTTTAGACTCTTATGTACCAAAATATAAATCTTGGCAAAGCATAAACAGCTCTATTATATTTTTAATGCTCGCCAAATTGAAAGGGGACAATGAAAGCCAAAGGGAACAATCCAAGCAAACACTTAATTCAATATGCAAGAATATTTTTGAATATAAAGCAATATATTTCTCAAAATATATATTGCAGGTTTTTACACGCCGCAGTCATCATTCATTCGACAAACTAAAAAAAGCATTTCAAGTGTGTTGTTCAATCATTTTCTTTTATCGTAAACCATCATTTCAATCGTGTATATTTTACTGCAGAAATAAATAAAAAATAAATCAGCATAAATAAAAACTAAAATCATTCGATTTTCAGCATTCGATACAATTTTCATTAAATTCTAAGCCCCAAACATATTTGAAACTATTCATTTAAATCAGCAAAACCATTTCTTGGTTTTAAGAGCACTTCAGAGCACTGGCTCAAAGGCTAACTCTTCAGAGTGTTGCCGAACACCGCGAGCATGCAAACCAATACACAAGTGATTTCACTTCACATTTTATGTGTGTGTGTGAGTGTGTGTGAGTGTGTCTGTGTGTGTGTGTGTGCATTTACATATGTGTGCGCTATTGTTAGAAAATTTGGAAAATTTGTAGCTGTGGCTGTAACGAGTCGTGTGGAATTGAGTCGATTGTTGGCCTTTTGTTTGTGGCGCCTGCCAAGGTGCACACACATAGAATGTTGCGGCTCCGCACACACACACACACATACACAAACTTGTACACACATTATAATACTTATATTGAAACTCATGCTCATAGTCATAGAGTACTTTGCATATAAATCATTTGGCAATGTGACTGGGGTCGCAATGCGCTTATGAAATATTTCACTTTTGTTGAATGTGCCAGCAACTTAAAGCAACGTTTTGCCACATGCCACAATTTCTATCCACCTTGCTACCGTCTCTTCTATGGCGCCCAGCACTAATTAAAAACGTGCAAAAAGCAAGCCAATCAAACAGGTCGATGCACAACAATGGCTTGGCCCAAAATTGCACAAATACATGCACATATGTAAATATGAAAATGTATTGGTGTGTGTGTGTGTGTGTGTGTGTGCAAAAGCAGCGCCAGTTACTGCTCCAGGACACAATGCATTGTGCTGGCTATCCGGCACGCACTGAAGCGCAAGCAACAGGATGAATTTGTTAAACAACACGAACGTGGAGGAGCTGGCGTCTCTCTCTCTCTCTCTCTCTTCCTCTCCAGGAGTAGCTGGACCCATCTCAGCACAGCTCTCCGTGTGAAAAGTGAAAAATGAAAAACTCATTCGCCCTATCTAGTGACATCATCAATTTCAGTCTATTTTGCACTGACCAAGCGAATGCAGTAGCGGCAGCTGCAGCACTAGCTACAGAAAAAAAAAAAATTGAGACAACCAGGCTGCCAGAGAACATTAACTGGCAAGGCAGAATCACATTTTGCATGTGCCAAGGGGGAAAGGAAGTGCTTGGGGGAGGGAACGGGATCGGGGCATTAGCAATGGGGATTTTGTGGCGAAACAACAAAAAGAAGAAATGGAAATTCGAAGACTAGTTTCGACTTGAGCTCTTGTTTACAATTGTCAGACAGTTACTTAGATCAGGCTAGATAAGTCCTTAAGCTGAGCCAGTATTCAAGTCGAATTGATAATTGCTGGAGACGAGTTGAGTCTAAAAGCCACATGCCCAAAAACAACTGATTGGGACGAGAGGATTATTGTGCATCAAATTGTGATCAGTTAGTAAAGCTTTAAGTTATTCAACAGTAAAGTAAAAATATTATAAGGACTTAATGTGCTTACCAAATTTCTTATTTTGTTGTTAATACTTTCATATAAATCAAATAAACAGTGGCCTTATTCAGTTACAAGCTTAATCAGCAGCTAATTACTCATAGATTACAAGAAAGCTCTCAAAGCCAATTTCTCAGAATTTATATTACTAATTCAATACTATTAATGTTTGTCAGTATCTTAATTAAGTGCTATAAACAACACCGCTTTTATCTATAATTCAAACTAATTTAATTCACTTTATATCATTAAGCTCGAGCAAAACTTTTCAAGCTACTTTCTTTAAACATCAACTAGTTAGTAAGTTGCGCAGATAAACATCATTTCGAGCATAAATAAACTTTATTAAATAAACTTTTCGTTGGTTCTTTGTTTGGTTGAAAATCATTTTAAACACCCCGAAGTTTCTAAATTGTTCGGAAGAACGCTGAACACTAAGCACAAGTGTATCTGTTTTTTAACCCCTCAGTCAGGGCTTAATTTACACCTCAACCCACACTCATCGATTTTATAATGAAGCTATAGGGCGAAAGAGTCAAACCAAACTGTTTGTTTTACCACAACGGAGTAAGGGGTGGGGGTTTGGGGGGTGGGGGTCTAGGCAAGCCGTTTGCAACCACCGAAATAAAAAACAAAAAGCGAAAATCTACCCCTCAAGCAAAATGCTGTGGATTATATTGCATTACGGAAATTGGGGGGCGGTTTTGGCTGTGTTACCTTCAAAGGCGCTCTAATGTCATTACTTTTATGTCATCAGCTGAGCTCATTGGAAGGCAGCCTTGAAATGCATTTAATCCCACAGCAGGCAAGCCAAGCAGAAAGGACTCGAACAGGGAGTCAAATGTTTGCCTGTTCAGCGCTGATTGCTGAGCAAAACAAATTGAATTTGTTAAGCAACAGCAACAAGATTTCCAGTATCAAAAATAAGACACAATTTCTTCTAATCAACTTTAAATATGCTTATGCAAATTACGATGGCGAAATTTCGATAGGAAATTAAGTAATGCCAATGAAATCTTTGCTCCATGATTTGATTGAGACATTTATTTAATTATGTTCTTAGTTTTTTTCGTAATTCGACATTTAATATACATTCAACATTGATTGTTGTAAAATTATTATGAATTAATTTTAGAATTCTATTCTCATTTTATGTAATATATTGTAGAGCAACAAAAGTTAAATATTTGTTGTATGCTTAAAAATATTGATTTCATGATATTTATAGCATTTGCTGTTGCTCAATTGCCGTAAGACGCTTTTCATATTTTCTATTGTAAATGGGAAAAGCCATTTTCCAATTGATTTAGAGCGAGGGAGACCTTTGCCTTGGTTGTTGTCCACTAAATAGTGACATAAACTGAAATTTAACATTTTGTCTACAGAGTGTGGTACTTGGGTTTAATTGTTTGGACTTTGTGCACAAAAGTGCCTATTACAAAGTAAACAAGCCAAAACTATCGTAAACTTTAGTGGCAAAGCAGCTTAAAGGCTTCATTTCTTTTCAGTTTATCAGCCGTTCCCATGTACCCCTTCCCTGCCCCATTCCATGCCAGCCAACTCGCACGACTGATTGCTAAAGAGTCTTTGGCAAGTTTGCCGCTTGAAAGAAATCATCATGTGCCAACATTAGTGACCCAGCGCATGCATAACAGACTAGTTGGCCAAAGTCCTTCGTCGTCCTTTCATCGTCCATAATTATGCTGTAGCTAGTTGTTTGCTGCCTGCCTTCTGCTGGTTACTGGTTACTGGTTGCTGGTTGCTGCCACTGCCACCGCCACAGCCCGGACACAAGGCTCTAATGCAAATGCAAATCAGGCAACTGCCCCGGCAACAAAAGCCGTGAGAGCTCAAACAAAAAAGGGTATTATAAAATGGACAGCCCTCGCCCAGCAAAGCGGAAGTGACTGGGCCCCATCTTCTGTCTGTCTTGCTGTCCGACTCTCCCTCTCCCTCTCTCTCTCTCTCTCTCTCTCTCTCTTTCTGACTGTCTGTCGCCTCTGTTAGTATATATGTATGTATGAGTGTGTGTAGAGAAGTCTGTCTATCTTTGAGATGCGTTCGGTATACGAACATTGTTATACCCGCTCCAATTGAACTGAAGAGGATGTGTTAAACTTATGTGGAAACAAATTGGCGACACTTCAATAGTTAAAGATCGAACAAACGCAAATGATTATATAAATAGAAATTCTAACTAGCAGATTGCTTTGTTCATGGTAGATAAATGGATAGAAGGGCAACAGCTTCTTTCTTTAAAATACCAATTATATTGCTTAGCTCTCTAGACCAAATTAAATTTTATTCGGTTACAAATACATAAACACGACAACAATTTCATTAGTAATTGTTCAAATCTCAAGAATTTCATAGGTAATAAGAAATCCTTCTGCTTATGCCTCAAAGCTAAAATCCAATGGAGTTGACCAAGTGCAGATATCTTCAAGTTGAGCACTTCAGTAAACACTTCGTTGCTGTCACATATTCTTATGCAAAAAAAAGGGGAAGC